TTCTAAAGGAGACGCGATGAAACCATGTTTTTTTTTTATGATACGTTATTTCTATTTGACATAAGTTTATGCCTAAAAATGCCCTTGAATATGGATAGCAATGTAGGTTTGTATAAATGTATACATTTGAGTGCTTATGTTTGCGTGATACTTAGCAACTCACCGAGTAGAAAGAGACTTCGTCATACAGAACTACCCAGCCGCGGACGTCGCGACGACCACCAAAAGACAAGCACGTGGTATACGGGATCATGATGGTTCCCAAGAGAAAAAGAGAAAAAGAAAGAGAGAGAGAAAATGGAAAGGAGGAAGGACGAAAAGGTAGAGAAAAAAAGAGGAAAAGAGAAAGAGAGAGTTAGCGGACGCTTCAGCCACTGTTGCTGCGAATGGGAACGTGATGTAACGTCACACTTCTTTAATTTAGTTTCAACGACAATAATAATGACAACAATGATAGGCGGCAGTGATGCTGTAAATTACGATGACGACAATCGCGACGATATCACCGTCAATAGCAATCGCGCTAAACTGGATTTCAGGTAAACGGTTTACGAACAAAAATAAGGATGAATCGCAACGCCGGTGACAACAAACTACCACGAGACTTCGGCGCAACCAAAGAATCGCAACCGTATATTGGCCACGATGTGCACTATTATTACACGATCACATGTCGGCGCGCAAACGCGTCCTGGGGACCGGAGATCAATGAAAATAGCCGAAGACGCGCGACGAAAGCGGTGCAACGCACCGACGATAACCGAACGAAGGGGGAATAAACAAGAATCGAATTGAATCGAAGTTTATAAGAATATAATCGTCGCTTGCTAATTATATCTCCATGTTGCTGAAGAAATAGAATTAGATTAAAAAATTTGAAAAAAAAATACAAAAGTTCTGAAGTAAAACAGTACACACATATTATAAATCATATATAATAATTATTAATTAATTAACTTATTTATTTACTTATTTGTGTGTTAAAAAAGTAAAAGAATTTATATGGAAACATTTATTATAATCATTTTAGCAAGATTTTAACAGCCTTTGTTTCTAAAAAGATCAGTTTTATATTTTTGCTTTAAATATAATCGATGATAATAATTTATAAATTGGCATCATATGATAATGTAAAAACATAAGTTGTAATAATACCAACATTATTTGAGGTATAATACAATAAACCTCAGTGAATCTCTGACAAAGATAACCTAACGGTCTTCCTAATATTTTTATCTATATCATTTGATATATTTTATATATATTATCTTGTATGGTAACCAAAAAATTACATATATTCCAAGAAACATCTTGTACGAAATATATTTATCGAAATCAATAGGTCTGTAGGATATACACGAAAATTCAACCCAGAAGAATTAATTATACATCCAGTCTACCAATATTCTATGCATATGCTTTATGGGGGGGAGATATAATTAAGAATAGAAGAAATTGTTCAATTCTGATTTTAAAAATATAGAAATTCGATTGCAAAATTCAATGTGGAAAATATCAATAAAAACTTATTGTTAGATAGATGTTTAACGTAAAGATGAGATGGCTGATATACAGAAAAGTATGTGAAATATTAATCGTCTTTTTGGAAAAATTTATTATCCAATTTAAATGTTATATGTCGGAAATTTAGCCAAATGTGGTTGTTGTACATCTAACAAAAAGTATATAACGCCAGCAAGACCTGAAAATGCGAATAATACATAAATATGATTATAATGATATTTTCGATTGATTTGATACATATATAAAATCTTATCATGCTTTAAGAAATATTTTCTTCAATTAGCCAAGATATTATAAAAGTTTGATAATCTAAGATACTTTTAAAATTAGCCATATATAGATATACGGTCTGTTTCACTGTTTGCTGTACAAGATATTGTGTGTTTTGATTATACATTGTACATTGCCTTATATAAGATATTAGTGAGATAATGTAAATAGGTATATTATAATTTACATATTAATAAGTTACCTTCAAACAAAGAAAAAGGTCTATCAGGACATCGATTTTGATGTGAGCCATAATGAAAACACCATTCAGCAAACATGCAAGCACGATATAAGTATTTAATATCCTAAAATTATTGAAATAATATTAAGATTAATTTTTTTAATAATTATAAATTGTTTTAATGATTATATAAATATATTCTGAAACATTCTAATTTCATAGTAAAGGTAGATAATATGAATACAAATATCCAAAAACTTCAAACTAAATAATTTTAATATGTTACAGTTATAACATGAATTTTTTGCTGTATTGGTATATCTACATATCTGCTAATTTGATATTAAATCGATTTAAGTCTTAAATATTCGTATATCATGTTTTGTCATCTATCTTCAAGGAGTGAACCAAACCTTTGTTTCTTGAAATAAATATATGAAAGTATAACCGTTTCCAGCAACACCATGACAAATGCTATATCCTTTTTTTAGTAATCCTCTTTCCCATATTACTTCTCCACATCGTATTGCGGTGTCTAGAAATGTGCTATCCTCAAATATCTATTATTCCAATGATAATATAATAAGTTACTAGAAAATAATTATTAATTCACTAAATTTTGTATGGAATTTGTATTACCTTATAAGCTAAACAAAACAATATTGATATTCCAGGTGCTCCATGACACCATTGTACTAATTTATCAGAAGGATTTCCTATTGAAGAAGGGAAATTTCCAGAAGAAAATTGTAATTTTTGAAGATAGTATAACGATGGTTTCAAATAATTGTCAATTTGTACTTGTGTTAAATAATTTCGTGCCTAAAAGAAAAAAGAAAAAATGCAAATAATAATAGTGATATTGCTAACTTTACATTTTTAAGATTTAAGATAATAAAATCAAATAGCAAATAATGTATCATTTTCCAAAATACATAATTTTTGTAATGTAATACCTGCAATAACAAATATAGTATGCCAGCTAATCCATGAGCACCACCAACATATTCTTTATGATGCCAAGAATACATTAGAGGTGATTGACAACGATTTGATGAAGAATATGATATACCGCTTTTTATTATATAAGAAATAACCTGTGTAAAAATAATTTTTTTTCATATAAAAAAATTTTGTTATTTTAATAGATATAAATTATATATAAAGTTATACTAAAAAACAATACTTTTTTTATGAGATCTGCTTCTATAGGAGTTGGAGATATATTTGCATTTACATAAAGCAAACTAGCTAAATATCCAGCTGTTCCATATAGTAATTCATCAGGAACATCATTATGTTTATCCAAAACATAAGTAGATAAAGATTTTAATCTATAAATTTTTAAATTGAATTATTTCTCTATCTCTTATATATAAATATTGCAAAAAATAATTATACCTATCAAAATTTATTTTACGACATATTTACTTTGTTCAAACCAAGATATTTTTAAACAATGAAAATTGCGAATATTCCAAATTTAAATTTTATTTCTTTAATAAAAGAAATCTTCAAAAATATTAAAAAAAACTATTATTTTACTTTATTATTATTTTTCAGTTCTACATTTGTGTTTTACCTTTACTATTTACATCACTATTAATGATTGATATTATATTATTACTGTTTTATATTTCATATATTTATATGAATTATTAAAATGTTTTAAATTTTCATTATTCAAAAATATTTAAGCTTTATAATAGAACAATAATATATATACACAATAACTCTCTCTCCCTGTCTCTGAAATCTATCTAATCTCTCTAAAAAAATTTATCTGGAAAATACTTTATTAGATGTAAATAAAACCCCTATGTGCAAGTCTTAGTAATTAAATAAATAAAAATTCATAATCTCAAAATGCATTTGTAATTCAAATATTAAAAAATTATATACTTAAAAATTAATTGTTCCATTTCCTCTTTCATTCCCTGTGAATATAATATTACAGCTGTCAATGCTAGTGGACCTGCAACTCCAGTCAAAAAAGTTATTTTATGCTTGCTTTTAAATTCTGTAGTACATTTTCTTAATATATCTGTTGCTGTCTGAAAAATTACATTAAAATGACATTTGATTTTTAACTGAAAAATATAGTATCTAAATTTTCATAAATACTTTGATATATGCAGAGTCATTGTAATATTTCCCATAATGATATAATGTAAACGCAATTCCTGCT